TAATAAATTAACTTAGAAATATTATGGGGCAAGTGATACCGCTTTTTTTTTTTTACTTTCTAGAAAACATTGCTTGAGTAATGTTTTCCATAGTCAGAAGCCTATCTTTTAATTATGGACAACGCTTGCATTAATAATCAGTCAGGCCGGGAACCAATCTCATTATATTGTCTTTGAAATGATTTTTTTCGACGTAGGGAAATGGCTGATTTCCCAGCAAGTGAAAGTGAAGTGTATTGCAAGTATGTAATCTTTAACTTAAATCGCCTTGTTTGCGACGTCTACAATGACGAAAAAAGCTCTCGTAATAGAACATACGATAGTCCTTCGTCTACATATTGGATCCATTATTTAACATCTATAAAATTATGCTTAACTACTCCCACCATGTGTTTGATTTCTAATGTTGGCTGGATAATTCAATGAATGATACACCTTATATCCGTCAAGTAACATCAGTGCAACTTGGCTATACATTCATCACAAAACATTCTATTGAGTATTCTATTCGCATATAATCTTGGTTCAAATTGATCGATAAAATTGGTAGACTCGATGTTTCATGAATTTACCATTACTTTTCGCTCTTAACCTTCACAGCACCTGATTCACCATATATTTTCTGGCTGGTCAATTCATTTGTCGTTTCTCAAGTTTCATTTTGTTTGAAATTTTCCGCCACTTCATTTTGCTGGTATGTTAAAAATAATAAATTATTGTATAAATTTAAAAAATATTAAGATTATTTTCAAAATTTTGCCTAAATTTGGCTTAATATTTTCATGAATTCTAATTTCGTATTATATATGTTCTGTATTAATATATTAAATATCATAGCAACATTTATAAATGTGAAATTAAATTATATAAGGAAAACTATATTTTAAGATATAAAGTTGTTTGTGTGGTCAATTTCTAAAGCATAAAACTGTCTTGCAATAACAAATAGTGTATTGAATTGAGTTCAAATACATCCGAGGTAATGTCATTTCACATGATATATTCATAATATAAGTAGAGTAATATCATAAAACTTTAACCAGCATTGTTTGTTTCCTATCAATTTTATTGCTAAAATATTGACGTGTATAAATTGTATCACCGTATGCATGGATGTAAATCTATCTATCTATCTATCTATCTATCTATCTATCTATCTATCTATCTAAAGTCAAAGAGGAAATTTTATTTACGAAAGTGTTTTCTGCTTTGATATATCAAGGCAAAATTAAGAACATTATTTTAAACATGTATTTATAAACAGTTCAAAACAAAAATGAGATAAATTTGTTTTAATTTCACATAACTTTATATATATATATATATATATATATATATATATATATATATATATATATATATACATATATATATATATATATATATATATATATATATATATATATATATATATATATGTGTGTGTGTGTGTGTGTGTGTGTGTGTGTGTGTGTGTGTGTGTACTTAATATTTTTTATTTAATAACAACGAGCTTTAAACCTTTACTTTAACATACATTATATATCACCCTTCATAGCCTACCTTGAATTTCATAGGTAGGCTGAAGAATGTCTGGAGCGTTTTTAAATTTAAAATAATATGAAAAGTTTCCCTTTCATCCTTATTCAAAATGTATTTTCATTTACCTCTAGACACTTAACCACACGTAGCACACACGCATACACACGCATATATATATATATATATATATATATATATATATATATATATATATATATATATATATGTGATATCTGTGTGTGTTTGTGCGCATGATCGTGCGTTCATGATGTACAAGGTCTACCAGAAGTCATGCGACAGTTGACAAAAAATATACAATTGTGAACTAGTAACCATGAAAACTTTTCATGACATCATTTTCCATAATTCGACCAATAAATGTTATTAATATTTATTGTGGCATCCAGAAATATGATCGGGTAAATATATATAAATTTCTGCTGCTATCAATGGTAATGTGATTTTTGCATTACTCTATGTTACGGAGAAAAGATATTTGAGATTTGTTTTATAATACACTGTCTTACCCTCATACAATCCAACACTTAATATATTCCTTAATATTTGTGAAAACACGCACGCCCACACTCTCACACGTGTATATCTCTAAACGGGATCATGTCGCTCACACCATTCCTCACTACCTTCTATGACAACTTATATACGGTTAATACTGCCAGTCAAAAGTGTAAATTTTAATTTCATTTTTCGTCTCACCTTTTGAAACTGATGTCTGAAGATCCAGGGAAATACAAAAGTCTCTGGTGAAATAAATTATTACAACTGAGCCTTAATATGATCTGCTTTTATATATATATATATATATATATATATATATATATATATATATATATATTATATAAATGCCTATAATTGTTTATTTAACCATTGTTTTATACGAATGGCTTCCCATACTTAATACTTCTCGTTTTCTTTCTCGCGGGGCCATGTGTCACGTCACGAGCTGCGATGCGATTTCGGCTTCCCCGTTTTGTATACATGAGTTTATCGTTGCTTTGAAATTTTTCATGCAACAAAAACAGACTATCATTATTGTTTCGTCCGTGTATTGTTTCATATATTGAAATGTAATTGTCATCTTTGATAATGGCTTATATTTCAATGTGGTGATTTCCTTTCGTCTTTCAATGATAATGGTATCAAGTTTATCAGACAATATGAAGGAACTTACTTAAAATAGACATGACTTGTCTATATTATTTAATGAAACATGCATCAATATATATATATATATATATATATATATATATATATATATATATATATATATATATATATATATATATCATTTCCCAAAGGAGAGTTTATCTTCGATCTTTATTGCTGACATCTTGGTTTAACACAACTCTGTCTCCAAATTCTTTCAAGTAATCTTCATGTCACATGCCACTCTACAACAAATGGTCCTCGTCTTTTTGTTAATCCTATAAAATAGTCTATTATAAGCCAAAAATACAAAAAAAAAACAAAAAAATATCATTTTTGAATTGAGAATAGTATGTTCGTTAAACTATAATTGAGATTTCCACTAAATCTGTCTCCACCAATTTTTTTTTTTTTAAATCAAACATCTTTTGAGACTATGCATTGATTTCTAAAAATTAAATCACCCGAGTAAGACATTGAAGACTACAGCGCTTACTTTATAGTTAACATTAACTGCATTCCAAAAGTACCTCTTACCTTTCCCTTTCGGTTGATTTAATCATTTGCCGTTTTTCAAATTTACTTTCAAGAAAGAAGTTTTGTTCTAACAGAAGTTAATATGTACTAGACACCCCTAAGAGATAACGAAATATATTTTGCAGACAGTCACAACAAGGCATCAACGAAGTCAATTTCATCAGGGCGTTGTCTTGGATGATAGACCCATAGTCACCAGATGAAGAGCTGTACAACACAATATGTTATTGGCTGTCGAACCAGCTGCAGTTCGAGATATCTGATGTAAAGCAATGAGATAACCATATGATGTGCAAACATTTAAGCGCCTGATATGTGCGAATCTCTAAACGAGACAATAGTCCCGATCCAGATACTCACGCACCGATAATTACTAACGAGTTCCAGAGATGAATACGCAATAATTTTACGTATGTGTATGAGTCTTGTGTCCTTACTTTTCTTTACAAACATAATTTTATGCTTGATCTTACATTGTATTCTTTTAAATTTATGTTGTGCTTATTAATAACTCACCTACTGACGAATATATATTTCATATTAAGTATGATTACTGGTTATTTAGGAAAAATGATGAAACACATAATTGCTATAATAGGCCAAAATGTAATTATATATTAAACATTATATTTCAAGTTATGTACCTTAAAATTATATTTCCTTCTATAAAGTAACAAAAGATAAATAATTTACATTTAATCCCATTTTAAAATCTGCGGAATTCACTATTTTACAATGAATTTTTAAAGAATTCCTATCTACATAAAAAATATAAAAGTCATTTTATGACACAAAAATCAGTTATAATGCGTGGTTTTTGAACATTTTATAAAATATTAAGTAAATATTTATTAATCTATCTGTTCTGTGTTTTTTTTTATTAAGTGTTTCACTCTAAATTTATTTAATCCCTCTAATATCCTTTAAATGTCTTAACTCATTTTTTGCGTTATTTGTATAGTCACCTCAATATTTCGGTCGATCGTTCGATAACAATCTGCAGATGTAAAATCTCCATGTATAGTTCCTTTTTTTCCATATAATAGAAATATTAGGGTAGCTTATATAAAAATAGACTCTAATTTTACGCTGCAAAATTGTAATACAGATAATTCAGTATTACACACGGTTATGATGTCCGTTGTCTCTTTGCTAGCTTTATTTATCTTATTGATCTACTTACCTATATTGACATTTGAACATTAATTAATTCATATTAAATTTTGAATAAAACTTGGATCTCCATTTATAATTAGATTCGCGCTTAATTTAAAACCGGCAAATGATTTTTTTCAATAACATACGATTATTCTGTTGTTCAAATTTTCGCAATATAAACTTACATTAGGATAGGGCATTTTAAACTATTTAATGACTGAATATAGATGTAAATTCCGACCGAAATTTAGAGAAGATAATATAATACTGTTGTATTTTAATTAAGGACATCCATGACAAAAAATAATTAGATTAAATATTGTGATGGTTTTTAAAGGAAAAATAATAATTTCTATAATAATTCGTTGATTGTAGGTTATTTCAGTCATAAATTATTTTAGATTGTAAGAATTTTTATGAAATAATTAATGATTTTGCGTATATATGTCCTACTAATTAGCTCACAGTTGTAGGAGTATAGTTTGCTTTATATCTTTCCCAATTGTATTTGTGCTTAAGTGAAAAATAAACAAAAAAAAAACAGAGTGTAATTAGAACTTGGTTCTCCGATTTCCAATTCCGAGCCGTTATCCTTTATGTAATCTGCAATTTCAACCTTACAGCAGACAGAATTTGCATACCGTCACCCATCTAGGTACTGACCAGTTTCGACATTGCTTAACTTCGGCGATCGTAAGAGAACTAGTGTTTCAACGAGATATGGCCGTATGCCCATTTCGATAGTAAAAAAAAAAAAACCCACACACAATGTGGCATGATATATTTTAAACTTCATTCAAGCTGTTTTCATTCAAAGTGAGATATCAAGATTTTTTTTGTAAAATAAGGCTGAAACTTAATGCTGAGTATTATAGTCAACCATTACATGGTGTCAAATAATTGAGGCCTTGTGGCAAAGTTATGCCTAGTAATAAACTAACCATATTCATTGTAAATTTTGTTTTCCCAGAATTTTACACTGATAGTTTATTTTTATCATTTCACCCCAAGCAAGGTGTTAATGCCACTAGTACGCAGTGAGAGTGAATGAAAGTGAAAGAATGAGAAGACTGAGAATAGAGAGGATTGAAGAAAGATCAAATAATGAACAGGGTTCAAGAAAACAGAATATGGCGATTGATGTAGCGTTTAAATTTTTGAAGATTGTAGTTACAAGGGAAGAAAGGAAACAGAAGAGATTTCCACAGGTGGGAAGTGTGATAGAAGAAGCAGTAGGAGTGGGCATAGCATTTAGCTATTTCAAATATAAAACGGTGAGACCTAGTTGCCAATCTAGTAGAATGTTTAAATTCATGTAGTCGAGGCACAAGGAAAAAGTAGCTCGTCAGAGTAGTTGGTATAAAAAGAGTTGTAGAAAAGAGAATCGAAAGCCACGTCAGGTCAGTGAGAAATTGCCTGCAGTCGATATGCCTGGTCCTGAACGATTAAATTACAGATCGTTCTTTGAATTTTGTAAAGAATCTCGAGGTGTACAGCAGGAAAACCTGACTAGATTTTGCAACACCATTCAATGCACAGATGTATGTTAGATTTGTAAATGTGCAAGATTGATTCGCTAACGAGAAAAAAATGTCTGTTTCGACATATTGAACCAAGTTTCCTCGTATAATAAATAGAAAATCTTCGTTTTCACTAGTTGAATATCAGCCTTTATCTTTTACCTTGTTAGGCAGAAAATAACTTACAGAAAACAACGGCATTGAAAGAAAGGGATTTATTAGATCAGTAATATAATGAATATTTTATTTTCAGACAACTATTATGATTTACACCGTGTTTCTCAGGCTAAGATGTATTGGCCTTACCACTTCCCATACACGAAACATTTGTTCAACAATGATTTTTCTGTCGTTAAATGTCAAATGCTACGTTTTAATGAATTTCCTCCCAAAGGAAATTTATTGTAGTTGATGTCTTGTCAGCATCTCATAAATTGAATCTAAAATTCAGAATCAAATTAAAATTAGGGAATGTTAGTGAAAGAAATATAAAAGGGACAATCAAATTTAAAAAAAAAACAAACAAAAAAAAACAACAAAAAAACTTGTACACATAATTAACAGGTAAGATTTAAGGAAAATTGAAAAAAAAAGATGAAGAATTGATTAGCATCAACAAGAAACAGTTGAAATATCTGCGACAGCTAATGTGGAAAGAGATATCCGAGAATTTCATAATGTCAAGATATATTGAATTCATGATGGAGAAACAGCGAATAACATACGTAATAACCATGTGTAAATGGATGGCTAACAAGCTTGGGCATAGGGAAGAACAAAGAGAGGGGGCGGATAGTAATGAGCCATATATTATTTAGAGCTACAAAGGATAGGAAGTTGAGGGATGATCTGATGGCTTACCCCCTAAACAAGCAAGTTATATTAAAAAACAAAGTAAACATTCGAAATTTTCAGACGTGTTTTTATTATTTCCTTTAAAAATAATGTTCACCATCTGAAAAATTAAGAGACATAGTTTATCGGAACATATGAGTAACATAACAGTCAAATCTAGACTTGAAGAGGTTAAGAATGTAGTAATCAGAGTGGCATCCTTTTGGGTGATGGTAGATTTTCAGGTGGAATTTTCATTACACCAATAAAATATGAAGGGAATAAGGATCGTTCGATACAATGTGGATGACATAGTGATAATTAATCGGGAATGTTAGATTTAGTGGAACTATGTTAATTTTTCTGAACACATTCTATGCAAATAGCGATTGGGCAGTGAGAGCCTTTCGACGTTTCGTCTCTAAGAAAGAAAAAAATGATTTCCCTTGATTTGTAAAAAAATATTCCTAGGCTCTAAAAATGTGGGTGTTACAACAGCGTGAAATAAAAACAACATACAGTAATCTTAGTCATCAGTTACCGTAAAAAAAAACGATTATTTTCCTTCCAAAGGCATTTATTTTGTGTATATAATACATATATTTCACCAATCATCTTATTCATATTTACGTAACAGCTTCATTTTCCAGATTTTGCATTTTTTAAGAAAATTTACAATTCTCTAAAAAAAAACATAAGAATTCGAAAATTTTCTTTTACGGAAAATGAAAAGAAAAGGAACAAGTTACTTGAATGGAAGTATTAATTTGCCTGAAATATTTCTAAAAAGTAGTGAAAGAAATGCTTTTATTTTTCAATAATGCTCTTGCCGAAAAATAATTAAAGCTATAGAAATATTTACTTTAGTCAAGATAATTTATGCCAGCTTTCTATGAAAACAATACCAATAAGCAACGAGAACAAACATCTAATACCAATCATCAGTTAAAATCTTCTAATGCAAATCTAACGTGCATATAGTGAATTCAACATTATGATAGATATCTGAGGATGTATTATATTACATTAGGGGAGAGTAAGATATTTTAAATTTAATTGCTACTATGATGCAATTTCCGATATTCACATAATATACCATAATTTTATATGACATCACTTTTAATACTTAATTCCATCTATTGTTCTCGATGTGGAAACTTAACATATATTTAATATAGCAAATCGACTGAAATGTGAAATATGCAATATCAAAGAAATTTATTCATGATTAAACCACTTCAATTATCTGTGTGTGTGCGTGCGTGTGTGCTTGCAAATTCAGATTCAAATAAAATGTATATTTAAAACAATAAAAATGAAGTCAATCGGAAAACATTTCATTACAAAAAGAACGTCGTCTCAGGAGTGACATTATCTAAGTAAATGTAGAGATATTTTGTATCTTTTATTGATAAACAGAAGTAAAGTGGAGGAAGAATATCGTTAAGATTTCCGCTTTTATATTTAAGAAAGCTCTAATATATTTTGAAAGTCAACAGTGTAAGAAAAGTTAAAGTATAGAGGATGTTATGTGATGTACTTTCTTGGGTAAAATATCTAAAGTGAGTCAATATTGTTACTGAATTTATATTTATTTAGATTATTATTGTATTTTCAAATTATATTCATTCTTACTAGTAATACTACTTTATAAAGCCAACACAATTGACCATAATCCTAAAAATTATGAGAAAAGACTTAACGCAATTTATATAAATATATAAATTAAATAAATGCATAAATAATTTATCAAAATAAAGTAAAATAATAAATAATTGTATAAAATTAAATATGAATAAAAAATCATGCTGAAAAGTAAGAGCTATATTTACCTTGATAAACCCATCAAGAAAAGAATCGCATTGCTTTACAAGCATTTCGTAAACAAATATAAATACATATATATATATATATATATATATATATATATATATATATATATATATATATATATATATATATATACTGATGAAAAAATTCGCAAACTGAATATTAGTTTCTTATATTCCATGTCACTGATCTTGTATAGATTCTTCTCTCAGGTATCATAATTGGTGTTGCGACAAAAGTATTCAACTACCATGTGATTACATTTCATAACCACATGGAATGTTAATAGAAGCTTGCATTCTCACATGCATGCTATCATGCCCTTTGCTATTACCATACTGCAATATATTATTACATGGCTATGCAATATTGAAAGCAAGGAAATGCATGTTTTAACAAAAGCCGGCTCATTTGTCACACCATTATGTCCGACATATATATATATATATATATATATATATATATATATATATATATATATATATATATATATATATATATATATATATAGATACAAATAGCGATAAGTCTTTCGATCTTGCTAGTAAATTCTTCGGAAATCTTGAAGTATATCTTGAGCAAAATATTTATAATTGGACATATATTATTCCATTGCAAACGATTGCTTCCTGTTATTGCAAATACGACAGAATTACTTTAACAGTGTCTTGATTCGACATGCAAATGTATTGATTAATACGAAAACAGGTTCCTTCTGACTTGTCTGGCAGCCGGTCTAGTAAAAGGACAGAATTGAATTTAAGTGTTTCTGAATTACTATAACGATCTATGAAAACGAATATGAGGGTTTTTAGTGGTAGACTAAATCTCAGTACACAAGAACATCAGAGGTACGTGGCTTGAGAAAATCCCAGAAGACGATCAATGGCACAAAAAAAAGCATGTGCTTATTTCTGAACACATGATTTTTATTTCCCAGGGACACTATCGCATCACTACTGGAGACGTGCATGCATTATGTTGGATATTATTCTGTGTGTTACTGCATTCCCACTTTGACTAAACTTACTGCAGTTTTAACAAATATATATATATATATATATATATATATATATATATATATATATATATATATATTAAGACGGAAAATAAATTGTTTCAACGGAAAATTCTCGAAAGGGCCTTTATCGAATCATAACATAATATAAAACTGCGCCCCGAATATTTTCAAATACCTGATTTCATGAAAGTAATCCCTGATTGCAAAGCCAACCAATATAATTATAAAATTGTTAAAGGATAAAAAGAAAACATTTAATTAATATAATTCTATTATTTAAACATTGTAATATATAAGTTAATTAAAAAACAAAATAATATAAAAATTAATTACATCATAGTGTAAAAAGTTAAAAAAAAAGATCAACATTTACAGGCATATTACATTACTTAGCTTCCACTATAATGCACCGACACCTTTTTAGTTAGCCTGTTAAAAATTTATGAGCGTTTCTTCAATCTAAAATTTTTTAAAAACTAACATTTTAACTTTTGTTTAAAAAAATACTTTTTACGAAATAAAACC